TTGCTTCAACATGGAGGCGCCTCCGTGTCCAAGAATGATCCCCACAATCCAAATCGATTCGGTAGCGTACTCACGCTGTTGAAGATCCAGATCGCTCTGAACCTTTAAAAAGATGTGTTTAAGGACCTGGTGTAGAATACACTGGGTTAAGTGGATTTATCCATCCCCTACCCACCCCGCCGCAAGTAGTGCCAGGTGCATTCAGAGTCAGTGGGAATATCGTGGAAATAACCCCATTTCACACCGGGTTATTTCCATAGTGTAAATGGGGCATAAGAGAGCTGGAAAATAGTAATAATAGCTGGACTATTATATATATATGAATATTTTTTTAAAAAAAGAAGCAATTTTTTAAAAAGTCATTTGGTTTAAACTAACTTGTTTTAAACCAACCAACACTGTCCCTACTAGCTCAGTGAAAATTAGTGTTAATTTTTTTTCATGCTCAAGTATTCCTAGAAAAACACAAAGGGATTTATTGCTTATCAGTGTTCTGTGTGCCTCTTTGTTTTAGCATCGCTGCTTAAAACCAGTTTGTTTGTTTTTTCTCAAGAAGGGGTGGGGGTGTCTTTTGTATAATACTGTTTCCTAAAGATAAATAGTTGGGCAAGGATTGATTAGTCCCTGAAAACTTTGCATTGCTTTGCATGCAACAATATACTTTCTCCCTGTTGATATGGACGTCTGTTAGAAGTCTAAAAAGACACTGCAGAGGTTAGTATACTTTTCCACCCATAACAATCAAAGCCCCCACTCCAGGCTTATCACTGAGCCACTGTAGCACTCCCAGATATGTTGGACTTCAACTCCCAGAATTCCTGACTGTTGGTCAAGCTGGCTGGAACTTCTGGGAAGTGAAATCCAAAACCTAGAGGACCCAAGTTTGGGAACCATTGTGCTAAGACTTCCAACGGACTCTGGGGGGATTTCAGTGGCTCAACAGAGACTCTGGGGCATGTTGAATCAATAGGTATATCATAGTGCCACATGTAGAACAGTTACACTACTTGCCATACAGGATTTTGGCTTCAGTATATGTAATCTGATAGATCTCACTCATGGCGATGCTCTTCTAGACACTCCAGCCAAGTTGTGGGGAGCCATTTCCCATAGAGCTTTGTAGGATTATAGGAAGTTTATAATGGTAGCTACTAATTGCTGACATCAAATGCCACTTTTCTAGGAGCCCTGTCATACCTGAAACTGGCCTTGTTGATATAGAAAAGCAGAACTTGGACTATTAGTTTCTAAAAGCAATTTCTTCCTACTGGTCTGCCATGCTTTCCTGAAAAGTAACTCATTAGAAATCTGTTGCTAACCCATTTCATTGTGTTTATAAAGAAGCAAAAATGGACAAAAATCCCCATCTCGACAACATTTTAGAAGGAACAAGAAAATGTTACTTATAACAAGGAATATAAATTCTGATACTTGTCATTACATTACCTTTTAAAAGTAACAGTTTCCCCTCTAACCACAAAAGCAGGACATTAGCAGTAACATCATCATTTCTAGCACACTTCTTCCAAGAACTGAGGAAGGTTGGAAGGAAATGCAGTTGTTGCCTAACTACATTAGGTGTCAAAAGTGAGTAGGGAACAAGCCTGATTGTATTGCTTTACTGTTATCAAAGTACAGCAAAATGTAGTTGCACTAGTTGATCCACATTTGTGTATTTGACTCAGAACTCATTGTTTGGTGATAGGTATATAATTAATTCAGCCACACTTCAGCGAAATATCTAAATGCTATACAATCTATTCAGGATCTTAATAAAAAACACCATGAGAGCACCACCAACTCCGAAGGCTTCAGACCTTTACAAGACAAGAAGAAATACCGCCATAGGCCTGAACCACTTTTCATACCACCTCCATCCTTCAACCTCAGCGTGATTCACTCCGGTGCAACGCTCTACCAAAGCCAGCTGCGCTCTCCCCGGGTTTTAGGAGACCATCTGCTTGACAGAATTCATGAGCCTCTTCCTTACACCCCTCCTCCGATGCTCAGCCCTGTACGTCAAGGATCTGGCCTCTTCAGCAGCGTTATCACATCCTCTCACAGTACATCTCACCCCCAGCTGCCACTCACTCCTCTGACACCCACTCCTCGGGTACTGCTCTGTCAATCCAGTAAGTATTTTATGTTATGTTAAAAATACAGCTCATATACATACTCATCATTTGCCTCTCTTCTGTATTGGCTGCTTCCCCTTCCTTAAGGAACATTGGGCTCTGACTTCTGCTTCTTACAGTGGGCTAGTTTGGGTGGCACAATAAGCCAGGGATGTGCAGGGAACTTGACTTATCACTTATGATCAGCATCCTGGCATGTGCTGCCCACTTTTGTTTTTGTCTGCCTCCAAGTAATTTTTGACTTATGCCGATCCTAAGGTGAACCTGTCATAGAGTTTTCTTTGCAAGTTTCTTCAGAGGGGGTTTGCCATTGCCATCCTTGGAGGCTGAGAACGTGTCACTCACCCAAGGTCATCCATTGGCTGTTTATGCTTGAGTGAGGATTTGACCCTGGTCTTCAAAGTCATAGTCCAATGCTCGAACCACTCCATTGCACTGGTCCACTGCTCACTTAGTAACAGTTAAAGTGGGAGCAGTTAAACCCTCCATTTACTTAACATATCATCCAAATGTGGGCATAGGTCCATCTCTGATTTGTTCATCCTTCAGACCTTTTCTGGAGCAAACCTTTTTCACTTTGTTGAGGAGAATCAAATGAGAGAAGGAGCTGCATCCACATTTAGACAATGTATTTTAAGTGGTTTCTTTAGCAGTTTCACGATGTTTAATATTGTTTTAAGAGGAGGGTGGGTTTGGGAGGGTTTTCTGTGAGATTTTATTGATGTAAGCCGCCCCAATTGCTTCTGTAGAGGGGCGGGATAGAAATAATTTTTTATTATTATTATTATTATTAGAAGGAAGAATCACATTATGTGCATCAGGACAGTGCTTGCAACTACTAATCCATGGTTTTTACAAATTCCTGACTTACTCTGTCATCCCAACTGGCCCAGTGTTTTTGTGTTTTGCTCTCACAGATAGCAGTTCCTGTCTTAGACATATCCAGGAGGGAATAACAAAAATGCCTAAGTATATGGAATCTTTTAGCACACCTTCGTTCACAGCTATACCTTTCAATATTAACAATATTTATTTCTTACCCACCTCTCCCATAGATCAAGGTAGGAACAACAACAATTAACAGACAAACAACATCAGTTAAAAACACATCAGTTAAAACACACATCAGTTTAAAAGGACAGATAAGATGTATACATATTAAAATAATATACATTTAAAGTTCATTTAAAATTCACAATTTAATTTTATACTATTGTTTGAAGTGGATTGATATCCATGAAAGCTTATGCTAAAATAAAAATCAGTTAGTCTTAAAGGTTTTCTTAAATTCCTCCACTCACCTCTGCTCTTTTTCCTTCTTACAACAGATGAACAGAGCTGTTGTTCTGAAAATTCCAGAGTGAGGTTAAGTGGTTGATAGTTATGTATTTGTGCCACCTCCAGCTTCAGAGAAAGCAGGCAGTCTGGAGGTCTGCTTCTACTGTTGCTGGATGGGGAATAATAATAATAATAATAATAATAATAATAATAATAATAATAAGTATTTATTTGTACCCCGCCCCTCTGCGTAGCAACACAGAAGGTCCCTGCAACTTGTCTAAAGGATGATTTGCCATTCATGGAGGCTTCTGGGAAAGGCAACTCATGTTTTTCTTCGAAAAAAGGGGGGGTCAGATAGCCCTTAGGGGCTGAAGGCAGCAAAACAGCATTGCTAGCCTCAGAGCTGCACCTTACAGACATTTGAACTAGGGGACAGACTGTTTGAATGACCCTTTGCATCTAATAAAACAAAACAGATTCCATATACAAGCCCATTGCATCTAATAAAACAAAAAAGAGATCCCATATCCCAATTATGTAAGAAATAAAGAACGTTGAAAAATTTCCTTTGTTCCACCACCCAAATACATATGTTGTTTGCCTTTAAGTCATTTCTGACTTATGGCAACCGTAATGCTTTCTTGTCAAGTTTCTTCAGAGGGGGTTTGCCATTGCCATCCTCTGAGGTTGAGAGAGTATGACTTGCCCAAAGTCATCCAGTTGGTTTGCATGGCCAAGCTGGGATTCGAACCCACTCTCCAGAGTCGTAGTCCAATGCTCAAACCACTGCACTACACTATCTATTGAACTAAGAGGCCATGGATGGGCAGGAGACAAGATAGAGATTCACAATAGATTCAGCACGGGATAAGCATTTTCGATTTGCAAAACCTGTATTGTAATAAAACCAGCACAATTAAGGCCTTATCTAAGCAGCTTTCCCACTTGTGATTTCATCAATGTAGATGTAGAAAATGTATGTGCTTGTGGCTTTGATGAGAATGGTAGGGATGGCAGTCCAAGATCTTTGGAACACCCCTGGTTAGGGGCAGCTATTTCATGGGTTCAAGAACTGGCTTTACTCATTCCTGCTGCTTGATCTTATTAACTGGAAATGCTAAAGATTTAAAGCCACCTGAATACTAATATTGTCTTTTCTCCTGTTTGTCTCAGGGTCCATTCACACTGTAGGATTATAGTGCTAAAATTCCTCTTTGACTTCCATGTTTCTGTCATATGGGTTCCTGGGCTTTGTAGTTTCATGAGACACTGGAGCTCTCTGGCTGAGTATTCTAAATAGCCCTCCCTAAACTGCAAATCCCAGGACAGAAGCATGGTGGTTAAACTGGAATAATAGAACTGTGATTCTGTAGTGCAAAAGGGCCCGCAGTTTTGGTTTGTTACATTTAAAGCTTTCCTGGAATGGATCAAACATAGCTGGAAAGAGTGAAAAGTGCCAAATATGTACTAGCAAAGAGTGGCTTCTGCCTCTAATTAAAAAAACATCATTTTTTTTTTTTCATTTAGAAAGTGTTGATGGAGACATTGTACCTGTGACCCCAGGACCTGGAGAACAGACCATTGACATAGAACCGTAAGAACAGTTCTCTTTTGTACACATATTAATTGATATCCAGTCTAGTCCAGATTAGCTTTTTACATTTCATTTTTTATTAATATTTAAAGTCTTAAAAGCATCACACAATTCAAATGAGAGAATAAAAACAACATGCAAGTTAATACAGTTACAGAAAACTTAGCAGTTGACAGCAACAAACCATAAATGTAACAGAGAAATAAACCAGGGTTTACATGATTTAACTTTATAGACATGCAAAGCCTGTAACATGTTGCCGCATTCAGCCTGTGATATTGTTCATAAAAATTCATGTGGAGCCAGAGGAATATATATTAGTCCTTTGTAATTTATATTTGTAATAATAAAAGAGACTCTGGCAGATCATTTTGGTTGTTGTCCAAAATGCAGTGTCGTATTTCAACTTGAGATACCAGTTGGCGGAATTGCAAAAATGGGGTGCCAGCCATAACTCACCTGGGTAGATACCTCACAATTTGATGAAGTATTTTTGGCTGTTGTCTCAAGTTTCAAGTTGTAGGGGACGGGAATCAAAATTCCAGATGGTAGGAAGGGTTTCCTAGAAGCAAAAAAGGGACCAGCTATAACTCATTGGGAAATCATGGTAGATGTCTCAAAATTTGAGTGTTCTTTGTTGTCACTTAAGTTGCAGTGAACAATTTCAAGATACAAAAATCCAAATGGAGGGGAGTCCCTCCCACATCTCATTGGAAAATATTTTTAAGGGCTAAAAAACAGTAGAGAACTCTCTGAGGCACTGCTGCTAAGATACTTGAGCCAGGAGAAAAAGTGGGATAAGAGGATGCTACTAAGATTGTTGAGTTTTAAAAGGGGTAGGAAAAATGGGAGATTCCTTTAGTTAAAAACAACAACATAGGAGCAAGAAAAAAAGAGGCCCATGAACCTCTTCTGTAGTTATTGGGTATGAGCCTGGAGAAAACCAGGTACACTTCTTCCAGTATGCAACACAAAAGTATCAGGTTTCATAAAGGATACTAATGCTTTGAGCATTTGTCAGTCCAACTTTTTGAATTTGATTTGAGGCCCAGAACTGAACAAAGCTCATAGTAAAATCCACTCCTGATCAGTGGTTAGGGTTCCTGGTTTTCACTCCTGATTACGCCCCTAGCTTCCATCATTTCTGCAGTATAATTTTGGACAGGAGGTGATGCATCTTGTTGCTGTTGTAGTTAAGCAATTAGGAATTGGAAATCTTGAACCGTCTACAGCAAAACAAGATTGAGGTTTTCCAGTTGATCCAGATCTATCTTCTGCTGACTTCTGATTTAAATTTCTCCAAAGAAGGAAACCTTTCCAGCCTTTAGGCCTTTCCACTGTGTTAAAAGAGATGTAATGACAATAGAACTCTCTCTGTAGCTCTTAAATATTACTCAGATTGGGTGGTACATGTCTTCCTTAGCATTCCCCAATATGCTGTCCTTCAGGTGTGTTTGAGTACAACTCCTATCATCCCCAGCCAACATGGGCCCCAAATAGGGGAAGGCTGATTTAACATAGTTCAAAAAGCTACAATTACTTGTAAATATTTTTTAGCATAGTATTTGAATAGAGTTCAGAAGATACATACATATTTTCATATGGTTATTAAGCAATTATTACCCAAGATGTGAAGTCCTTCCTACTTTGTGTCAACAATTAAATTTCACTGATTTCTTTAATTAAGAATGCAGGGAGGTGTTGTCATTAGCAGACAAAACCTTCCTGGATTCTATTTATGTTGTTGGGGGTGAATAATATCACAATAACTGCTCAGCTCCCTTGCTTTCCTAAGAAATAGTTTATTTTAAAATACAGATAAAGGCTTCACTTTATGCCTTCTGCTCTCTTAACGTGACCTTTCTTTTCCTGTATAAGCTGTTGTTTCTTCTAGCCTCTATTCTTAAAACTGCTGCTGCTTATACAAATTGCAAATCACAGATTGCAAATAACACATTAGGCGTTTATCTTATAATCCTTTCTGTTTCTTTAATTGATTTCAGGCGTATCAATATTGGATCAAGATTTCAGGCTGATATCCCAGAGCTTAAAAATATAGTATCTTTGGGGAAGGAGGATCACAAGGCCACTTTAGTTTGGAAACCATGGCCGGAACTGGAAGATAAAGCTTTCCAACAAAGGGGTACAGTGGTGTTTCTATTTTTAACTCACACACAACAGTGTTCTTTTTATATTATCACTGTGTTCTTTATTTTCTGGTTATCTTAGAGACCTAGCTAGAATTTATGTTTGATTGAATTCAAATTACTCCAGTGTAATTTTTTAAAAAATAGCTTTTGTTGGCATTGCATTTCAGAAAGATTGGGAGGGATTCAGAGTTTTGCTTAGTGGAGTTCCATTGCTGCTAGAGCAATGGCCCTCAGGCATTTCCTTTGAATACCTCCAGGTTGGAAAAGCCTTCAAAACAGTGTTACAGGAGCTCCCATGGACTGCAGAAATGAAGCTAATCCTTGCCCCTTTGCCTTCTTCCATCAGGACATTTCTATTAGATCTTGGCTCCTCCTATGAATGGAATACATTTTTCGTTTTTCATAGGACCAGGTCCAAAGCCAGACCCTAACCTAAGAGACCTCTCCTCTAATATGGTACATTGTACCCCTGAACAATGTGTCATCAGTGTATCTAAAGAGAATTTCATTTCTCCCCAAAGAACATTACCTAGAATAAACCAGTGTTGCAAATTTGTACTATGAGATTAACACTGATATCTAGATAATACTAACTTAGAACAAAACAAAATCCTGAGATCCCTGAAGTGTTTTTGTAGTAGCTTTGTTCATACAGTGGGGTCCTCAGTATCCACTGGGATTTGGTTCCAGGATTCCCATGGATATGAAATTCCGTGGATATTCAAGTCCCATTGGGTAGTAAAATGGCAAAATCAAGGTTTGCTTTTGAGAATATACCATATTTTCCGATGTATAAGACGACTTTTTAAAGCTGGAAAAGGGTCTCAAAAGTCGAGGGTCATCTTATATGCTGGGTAGAGAAGGATGAGGATGAGAATGAAGGGAGAAGGAGAAGGGAGCCAGGAGAGAGAAGGAGGATGATGAGGACGAGGGGAGAAAGAGGAGGAAACTAGGAGAGAGGAGGAGGAGAATGAGAACGAAAGGAGAAAGAGGAGGAAGCCAGGAGAGGAGGAGGAGGCGAATGAGAACGGAAGGAGAAAGAGGAGGAAGCCAGGAGAGAGGAGGAAAAGGAGGAGGAAGCTAGGAGAGAGGAGGATGATGCTGAGAATGAGGGGAGAAAGAGGAGGAAGGTAAGAGAGAGGAGGAGGAGGAGAACGAAGGGAGGAAGAGGAAGAAGCCAGGAGAGAAGAGGAGGAGGATGAGAACGAAGGGAGAGAAAGAGAAGAGAGTCAAGAGAGAGAAGGAGGATGAGGAGGACGAGGAGAGAAGGAGAAAGAAGCCAGTTCTACAGTTTGGATGCAGCCTGAATCTGCACTGCAGAAATAATGCAGTTTGACACCACTTTAACTGCCATGGCTCCATCCTATGGACTCCTAGGATCTGCAGTTTGGTTTGTGGTACCAGAACTCTCTGACAGAAAAGGCTAACTATCTCATAAAACTGCAAATTCCAGAATTCCATAGCCTTGAGCCTGGGCAGTTAAAGCAGTGTTAAACTGCTTTAATAACTTTCTGCAATGCAGACACAGCCATAGTTGATGTGTTGCTTGGGCACGACTTTTTTAACAAATAATTCTGCACAATGAGAGCGAGATTGTGTGTACCTTTGGAGATTTATCTAAGTTCCTTAACTTGGAGGTTATATGTGTATGTTGTGTGCCTTCAAATTGTTCCTGACTTATGGTGATCATGGGTTTTCTTGGCAAGATTCACTCAGAGGAGGTTTGCCATTGCCTTCCCCTGAGGCTGAGAGTGTGTGACTTGTCCAAGTTCATCCAGTGGGTTTCATGGCAGAGTGGGGAATCAAACCCAGGTCTCCAGAGTGGTAGTCTAACACTCAAACCACTACACCATTCTGGCTCCTATTCCCATGTACTACCTATGAAACAATTGCAGACTTTTTAGTTGTTCTTGTGTATCTTCAAGTCCTTTCCGACTTATGGCGACCCTAAGGCAACCCTAAGGTTTTCGTGGCATGTTTCTTCAAATGGGGGTTGCCATTATCATCCTCTGAGGCTG